TCACATGAATGCCTTTCTAAAACTATTAACTGATCCTCAAAATGTCCAAGCCTATACTCCTGTCTGTTTGCCTGATTGGAGTATTCAATCAGTATCTCACATTGGAGACGCTGTTTTGTCTGATTCTGTGACCTTGAAATCTTGCTTACATCTTCCAAATTTCAAATACAATCTGTTGTCAGTCAGAAAATTAGCCAAAGATTCTCATATGTTCTTTCAATTCTTTGATGAGTTTTGTCTGTTACAGGACCTTCGCACTTTTAAGGTCTTAGCAACTGGTAGAGTGATCAATGGGTTGTATGCTCTTGATAAATCATCCTTCACTTTAGAGGCCATTCAGAAATCTCAAGCTCTTTATGCTTCTTATGTGTTGTCATCAAGAAGATTCTATAGCAACAGTTCTGCTACACAGCCTAATAATAAAGCCTTGATTGTATCATCTGTCAATCAATGGCATTCTAGATTAGGCCATCCATCTTTAAATGTAATGAAACACCTATCTTCTTGTATTGATTTACAATCTTCATCATCTGATGTTAGCTTATGCGAGACTTGTCCTATGTCCAAGCAACATCGAAATCCTTTTCCTCTTAGCACTATTCAAACTGATAGAGTTTTTTCTTTGATACACATTGATGTATGGGTCCTTACAAACAATCATCTATAAATGGCTGTCAGTTTTTCCTTACTATTGTAGACGATTATAGTCGTTGCACTTGGACTTTTCTGTTTAAATACAAGACTCAGGTGGTTCAGTTACTTGCAAATTTCATTGCTTACACCCAGAATCAATTTCATGCTTCAATCTAAACCATCCGCAGTGACAATGGCACAGAATTTACCAATTCATTATGCCAGGATTTGTTTAGTAAACATGGTATTGTTCATCAAACAACCTGCCCTTATACACCTCAACAAAACGGTGTTGTTGAAAGAAAGCATCGTCACCTTTTGCAAGTGGCTCGATCTCTTCTTATTGAGTCACAATTGTCTAAAAGGTTTTGGGGGGAAGCAATTCTTACTGCCACTCATCTTATCAACATTACTCCTTCTGTTGTTTTGAAATGGAAAACTCCATTTGAAATTCTTTATCAAAAGCCACCCACATATGATCATCTCAGGGTTTTTGGTAGTCTAGCCTTTGATGTTGATACAACTCCTCATCGAGATAAATTTGATTCTAGATCTCATAGAGGCATCTTTGTGGGTTATCCCTCTCATCAAAAAGGCTACAAAATCTATATACCAATTTTCAGGAAAATCATTGTTTCCAGAGATGTTATCTTTCATGAAAATGTGTTTCCATCTTCTTCTTCTGATCATACTACACCTGTTCTTCCTACAACCATTCCTGCCATCACTGATGAAAATCTTCATGATCCTGTTTCTTCTTCCTCCAATCATATTTTAACTGATCATTCTTGTCCTATATCTTCACCTTTAAATAACACCCCATCTCATTCTTCTTGCCCTTCTTCTCCTGTTTCATCTCATCCTTCTCCTCTTCCTATTTCCGTATCACTTCCTCCTTCATCTCCTCCACCACTCAGAAGGAGCACTAGAGTTCGTCATTTACCTTCTAAATTCAATGACTTTGAATTGGTCAGTTTCTGTCACTCTCCTGAGTGTTCATCTCATTTCCCTGAGTGCTCCAGTCATTCCCCGGAGTGTTTGGATGCCATTATACATCCATCTTCTTTCCAGTGTTCCTTTAGTCCTTCTCATGATTCTTTTTTGGCAAATTTGTCTATGATCCAAGAACCTGTAACATATAATCAGGCTAGGAATAATCGAAAATGGATAGATGCTATGAATGCAGAACTCACAGCTCTTGAGAACAACAACACTTGGGAGTTGTCTTCTTTGCCTGCAGGAAAGAAAGCTGTGGAATGCAAGTGGGTTTATCGGGTCAAATGTCTGCCTGATGGATATGTGGATCAATATAAGGCTCGCTTGGTTGCCAAGGGGTTTACTCAAATCGAAGGAGAAGATTTTACAGAAGTCTTCTCTCATGTGGCCAAAGTGGTTACAGTTTGAATTATGTTTGCTGTTGCTGTAGCCAAGAACTGGATTTTGCATCAATTAGATGTTAATAATGCCTTTCTGCACGGCAATTTGACAGAAGAAGTTTATATGACTCCTCCCCCTGGGTATTCAGTTGCTAAACCTGGCCAAGTATGTCGTTTGAAGAAATCCCTTTATGGTCTTAAGCAAGCTTCAAGGGAATGGAATAAAGAGTTCACCTCTAAACTTTTATCTTTTGGTTTCCAGCAATCCTATCATGATCATTGCTTGTTTGTCTATGATCGTGCTGATCAGCAGGTGTTCTTACTAGTATATGTTGATGACGTGCTGCTTACTGGATCTGATGAAACCTTGATTCAACCCGTCAAGGATTTTCTCGACCAAGCCTTCTGCCATCAAGAATCTAGGCATTGCCAAGTACTTCCTAGGCATGGAGATTGCTCGTCCTTCTTCTGGTCTTTACTTATCACAAACTAAGTATGTGACTGATATTCTTACTGATGCTTGCATGTTGGATTGTCATCCTGTCAACACTCCTTTGCCTGCTGATCTCAAATTTCCAGCTGAAGACAAAGATCCTTCTCCATTGCTTCCAGATGTTGCCAAATACAGGCGGTTGGTGGGGCGCCTTTTGTATCTCAATTTCACTCGTCCTGACATTACATTTTCAGTTGAGCAGCTCAGTCAATATGTGCAAAAACCAAGAGAATCACATTGGCAAGCCGCTCTCCATATTCTCAAATATCTTGCTGGCAGTCGAACTCAAGGGCTGTTCTATCCAGCTTCTACTTCACTTGATCTTGTGGCTTTCACTAATGCTGATTGGGGGACATGTAAAACCACACGACGATCACTCAGTGGCTACTGCATCTTTCTTGGCAATTGTCTTGTTTCCTGGAAAACCAAGAAACAATCTACTGTTTCTTGTTCATCCGCCGAAGCTGAGTATCGTTCAATGGCATTTACTGCTCGGGAATTGCAGTGGATATCTTACATTCTCAGAGACTTTCGTGCTTCCTCCACCACTCCAATTCCTCTTTTCTGTGATAACAAGGCAGCAATTCATATAAGCGAAAATCCTGTTTATCATGAAAGGACAAAACATATTGACATTGATTGTCACATTGTTCGTGATTTATACAAGGATGGCTTTCTTCGACCAATTCATGTCTCCACTACTCACCAGCTTGCTGATCTTTTTACTAAATCTCTTCCTTCTTCTCCCTTTCATTTTTTAATGTCCAAGCTGAGCCTGATCCATTCTCAGCTTGAAGGTGGGGTGATGAAATATTCCACTCAAGAGAATACGATTTCCACTCAGGTGAGTACGACGCCGTCTCAGCCTCAAGAATCTCAGAAGGATTCTGTGGTCCCCAAGCATCATCCGCCGGAACATGGCGTTGGTTCCAGAACAGCATCACACCATATCAGACCACCTTAGAGTAGCCTCCACGTCAGAAGGATCCAGACTGTATCCAGATTATTTTGGGTGAGCTAAAGTCACCAAGCTGTGACCTTGATCTTATAATCACATGGGTACATAACAGAATTAGCTAGTTTAGTTAGATTCTTTATATAGTCACTTTAGCAAAACTCAGGAGCTGTATCTATCTATAAATAGGACGCTGTATATGCTGGAAATTGTAATCCAAAAACACTCTTTTCATTTTCTTTTGTTCTTTCAGAAATATCAAAGCAATTCCCAAATCACAAAGTTAGGGTTCTTCATTTCTTCTTCTTCCCTTGATTAATATGTCTTTAATTCATGAGTTTCTAGAGTTTCCCATGTGGCCGCAGTTTTGTTTTTTCCGGCTAGAGGGGGAAAGGAAAAGATAAATCCCGTAGCTTCTTGGTTCTATTTGGTTGTTGGATGTGGGATATAGATTAGAATTAGGGAGACATTATCGGAAGTTCATAGTATTAAATGAGTTGTACCTTGGAGATTTTGACTAAATTAAAAATGTTGTATATTTTAAACTGGACTATTTTTGTGGGATGGAGAGAGTAATAAAATTGAATAATCATCAATAATGGGTTAAAGATCGGAAATAGATAGGGTTTGATCTCATGAAGGGTAGTTTTGAAAATAAATGCAATCTTTATTCTGGAGGCTTAAAAATTACACTATCAATATCGCTAGTCAACTCTAAATTCCTCTACATCTTTCAAATCCATAAGTATTTTTAACACTAATAACAAATCTCCAAATCCTATAATTAATTTCGCATATATGCATTAATAATAAATCCCAACGAATTAGAGCATCTACAATGGTGGTAAATAACAAGTAAATAACTACTATATTATACTGTTTGTCATTGCATTGAGTGTGATAATATTATACGGTGTAAGAATTCTTACAATATGTAATACACTTTTTGGTATTGAAATATAATTAATGTGAGTTTATGATGATACTAAAATTATTTCATTTTATTATACTTTTACGGTATAAACCAATGTAGTGAAAAGTAGAATAAAAGTATGATATTGAAAATTTATTTCATTACACTCATAATGGTGTAAACCACTGTGGATGCTTTAATTAAAGATAATTTCAACGAATAATTCTGGTAATTTAGGCCTTTCGATCTCCTTCATTGTACCCAAAAAAAAGCACAATTTCCCTCATAACTAATTTTTTTCAAACTAATTTTCCTTAAAATTAATGTATGATCTTTGGATGAAAATTTTGTAATATTAATAATTGTCTGATGGGACATACAGGTGAAGATTCTTTGCTCTTGCAGTAACAGGAGGGAATTTGAATACGGGTAAAAAATACAATTCAGTGAAATGTCACATTTTCCAAAATATCGAAGGACAGGACACAATGATAAGCAAAACAAGGAGATTAAAAAACCTCAACTCCATTGGACTACATTTTCTGCCTCTCCCACTCTATCCAAAAAGGAAAAGCTCAAAAGCGAAAAGCTCAAAAAAGTTTTCATTCAATTCAATTCAAAAAAACTTCAATGGCCATTCCAGCCTCATCTCCTCCAAACCATTCATCATCAACAACAACTCTACACACCACCACCACCATGTCTCTAAACTACCACTGCTACTATTATCCAACCAAATCATCCCTTCAAATCTTCAACACCCTTAGTAGCAGTAATAATCATAATAATATGCCTTCATCATCCAAACAACTGGGCTCAAAGCCATCATCATCATCACCTCCTGGTCATCATGTTGTTCCATTAGCTTTGGCTACATATGCTCATTATGATATTGAAGCTGCAAGAGTGGCAGTGGAATCCGCCTTCGAGATGGAGAGCTTGTGGGCTTACAGAAAACAGAGTGAAAAAGATGATCTTGATTACTATGATGCTGTTGATGATCTAGAAAGGAATTGGGGAAATGGAGGAGTGTTGATTAGAAGGAAGAGAAGAAGAAAAAGAAGAAAGGAAACCAATATGGGAAATTCGGGGAATGATGAGAAAGTAGTTACTGACATGTTAATCTTGAAGCCAGAGAATTCTTCAGGGCAATATTTGAGCCCTCAACAGGAAGCAGATTATACTTTCTGCCTCAAGGTATGTATGTTTATATGAGCTTTTTTTTTATTTTTTTCCCCAACGAGCTTCCAGGAAAGTTGATGTTTTGGTTGAATGAATGAAGTCATTTCTTGGAATTTTTCAGGAGGAAGCAAGAATTGAAGCAGTGAGGAAGAGAATTGAAGAGGCAACTAGGAGTGAAGTTACTTTATCCCAATGGGCTAAAGCTGCTGGATTGAGCAGAAATACTCTAGATAAGATTTTGTGTAATGGTAGAGAAGCAAGAGATAGAATTACCAGATGTTACAGAAGACTTGTGATTTCTTTAGCTTCAGGTTATCAAGGAAGAGGGTTCAGTTTGCAAGATCTGGTTCAGGTACTGGTAACTTCTATTTTTCTTTTTTCATCTTGTTGATCAGTTCAGCTGTTTTCCCTTAATCAGGTCTAATTTCTAAAGATTATCTTTAAGTTTTTTGTCTGCTAAATGTTCCAGGAAGGAAACCTTGGGCTAATTCATGGTGCAAAAAAATTTAATCCAGAGAAGGGTTATAAGCTATCAACCTATGTTTACTGGTGGATTAAGCAATCTATGTCCAGAGCAGTAGCAAAGAAGTCTAGACTCACTAGACTGCCGGTAAGGCGAAAATGTTGATTATTGACTGTTTGATCTCAGGAGGAACTAAAAGTTATGTTAAACATTTAAGTCAAATGGCTTGTAATTGGTGAATGCACTTAGCATGTTTTGTGTAGGGTAGCATAAGTGAGCTGGTTCCAAAGATCTGTGAGGCCAATGCTGTCTTAAGCCAGAAGCTGCGCAAACTTCCAACGTGTGATGAAATCGCGAAACTGATTAACAAAAACAGCTTAACAGTAGCTCTTACCCTTGAAAGGAACAGAGAACCAATTTCTCTGGATCAAGCAATGTCAGCTAGCAACATGTCATTGCAGGTTGTAGCCCTCCCGTCTCGCTTGGTTTCTTTTCTTACTGATGCACACATTTTCACACAGTGATGCTTACTCATATGCTCTTATGACCTGAAAGTTCTATTTTCTGCTTTTTCACCTCAAAACATGCAGAATAGGCCTGTCGATTCCACTAGGCTCCCTTCTTCTGCTACCAATCGCATAATACAGAATATGAAACCTAATAATGTGATTACAATTCTTGTTGCAGGAGATTGTCCCAGGACCGGATGAATTAACGCCTGACACAATGGTGGAGAAACAGTTCATAAAGAAGGACTTAGATAAGCTTCTGAAGGGACTATCTGAAAGGGAAAGGAGTATAATCAGATTGTATTATGGCCTAAATGGCCACACCCCTCTATCTTTTGAGGATATAGGAAGACGCTTAAAACTCTCAAGAGAAAGAGTGAGGCAGATTAGCTGTGGTGCCTTGAAGAAACTACGCGAGAATAGCATGTTAAACGATCTGAAAGTATATATTGCATAGGTGTATCAGTATCACCAGTAATTATTAAAGGTTATATATATATCATTATCAGAAAATAAAAGTTTTGTACATTTGCAGAAGCTTAATTCTGCATTCATTCTTTGCAGATGGTCTTATATGAAACAATCTAGAAACAAGTTAATCAAACTACTGAGATTGCTTTCTTAAAGTATTATCCTTAAATGGAAACAATGGTGCTCTACTTCACAATTGTGCTTTCTTCAAGTATTATCCTTAACTGGAAACAGTGGTGCTCTACTTCACAGCCTCTGTATTTATGGAACTTAAAATGGTGAAACTTGAACCGTTGTCCATGAATAATGACCTAAGGCCAACACGGGAGTTCCTTGGTTAAAAATTTCGCAGCCCCTGCTTGTAATAAAAACTTATCAGCTACATACTTGAAATTCACTAGAACACTGCAGAGAGGATATAATTAATCTGCAACAGGGCAAGTCCTCCATCAGTGTCATATCATTCTTGGCTAATTCACAATGACATATTTATTCAGGATATAGTATCAGCACAGAGGTATCTGGGAACTATAACTAAGGTAGATCAATGGGTAATGTTTTCATCTACAGCACCTACAAGAGACACCGCGAAAAGAAAAGACAGTAAATGAAATTTAGTCACAAATGTTGCATGAAAATATGTTTTTATATATTATTGTCAAATCTCAATTGGATTATGAACAAATATAGTTGGGATTGTCGTGCTCTTGTCTAAAAGCAATAAAGGGATTTCCTTAGTAGTTGACAGAACTTTCAAACAAAGATCATAAAACCAAGACCGGATGAACTATCTTTAGCTATTGTCTATTCTTCTGCCTCTTCAGCCTCCCGAGGAACGGCACCAAAATTCTTCACCAAGAGGTCTACAACTAAAGGTACCAAGTCATCACAAGGTACTGCTTTCTTGTAAACATCTCCCAAGTGTGAATCACTGCCGATGCGCCCTCCCAAGAAAACATCTGCACCTTCAACAACTTTCCCATTTTTATCTCTTGTCATGCATCCCATAAATCCAATGTCTGCAACTTGAACTTGACCACAGGTATTTGGGCAGCCAGTCCAGTGCATTCTTACTGGACGAGTGATGGAAACTCGCCGTTGAACCTCCTCTGTGACTTTCAGTGCACGAGCTTTAGTCTCTATTATTGCCTGCCCACAGAACTGATTTCCAGTACAAGCAACTAAACCTCTCATCAGAATAGGAGGTTCTGGAGAAAACCTGTTCCTCAGAAGATCTTCATTAAGCAATGCCTCGATCTTTGAGTTCTCGATGTTTGGAATAATGATATTCTGCTCAACAGTCAGGCGGAGTTCTCCTGATCCGTACTCATCAGCAATCCGAGCAAGCTCTTCCATCTCATCGGCTTGCAAACGGCCTACTGGAACGTGAAGACCGACAAAGCTGTATCCTTCCTGTTTCTGGGGGTGGACACCAAGATACTCTCTTCTCTCCCATTGTTTTATAATCAAATCTTCTGAAGCTGCTCTCTCGAGCTCTTGTTGAGGCATCCTCTTAACAACCTCAGACCTGAAGCCCTCTATCCCCTGCTCAGTTGACAAAAAGGAAATCAATGCGAGATAATTAAAAAATCTACACCAAGCAAGCCGAAGCAGAAATTTTATCCTACACAACTAGGGAAGAATGAAATACTCACCAGTTCATCGATCAACCACATCATCCGACACTTCTGCCTGTTACCTCTGGTACCAAGATCTCTGAAAGCTTCCAGTATGGCTTTACACACGGGTAATATGTCATCTGCTGGAACCCATGCATCAAGAGGTACTGCTTCTGCACATCTTTTGGGACTAAAGAACCCACCAACCAGCAAATTGAATCCAAGTTTTCCATCTTTCATGGCTGGAATGTAAGCGAGATCGTTTATGTGAGGATGCTCATAAAGATCATGAGTACCTATGACGCACACATTCCACTTCCTTGGCCTACACAAACAGTCACATGGTTCAGGCCCACATGCAAGGATTAAGGAAAACTCAGTGGTTTCCATGAATTTTTTTTTTTTTAAGAAATCCATACATAACCTTAAGAGCAGAGAATTATGGTTACAAATTCGGTAAGGCCCTTTCATTAGAAATGTCATAACTACACTAGAGGCAATCATACTAGGAACTCAATTGTCATTTCAATTTTTCCCTGAAAATAAGCTGGAGAAGGAAACTCACAAGTTAGTGAATTCTGGATTTCCACGTGCATTCGCAGTAATATATTGAGACAGCAAGTTGGTGTAAGGCCTTGTATCAATAATTTCTTCAGGATCAATTCCTGCAAGAGGATTCCCAACGGGATTCCTCACATTGTCCATTCCACTTTGTAGGCTTGTCAAGCCAACTTCTTCAAGTCCTTTGAGAATCTCTGGCACATCAGGCAGCACAACGCCTCGAATCTGCCAATTCTGCCTAGTGGTAACATCAGCACATCCGTCCTGTCCATACTTTTTTATCACACTTGCAAGGTATCGAGTTTGCGCACTGGAAGTCACTCCATTAGGAAGCTTCAGCCTCATCATGAATCGACCATCTATCCAAAAAAAGTTGAACATCCAATGAGTTTAAAGAAGCAACTAAGATAGAACGATCATTTCTCTCATGTTCAATGAAAACAAACCACCAACAGGATACAACATAGTATAAAGGAAAGTATCTTCTGAACTAGCCAAATTCCAATTTCTCCTGAACAGTACACACAAATACTAGAAAGATAACAGGACAACAGGTGGAGCTCATTTCCTACTAACCATTCTGCCCTACAGAGTAGCAATCCTATATCTTACCCTGTGACATCCTACTAATTGAGAGAGCTTAACATTAATGCATTTAGATCATTTTCACATATAATCAGGGGTTATCCCACTTGTGGCCGAGACATATGTTCTAATATCCACATGGAGTAATTAACAAGTAACAACAATATGGTCAGAAGGTGATCACATCACGGAATAATAAAAATGCTCTGTCAACTCAGCTAAATACCAATTTCATCATCAGAAGTCAAACAAAAGCTAATAAATGGATAGGTATCTTAAATATTACAGAGAATGGGAACATTTCTCAACACTCAAAACATGTTGACAAATTTCTAACAAATGATTTAAACATTAGATGATCTAAAAAAACAAGAACATCAAACAAATTGAAGCACTCAAGAAACAGAATGGGTGGACCCTTTCTTCAATCAATCAAGAATTTCACAACATTAACAAGCAAGAATTAGTGATCAAGAACTTACATTGATGCTTCCTTCTGTGGAAGAGACCAAGCCACTTGAGCCTAACATCAATATCATCCTTAGTAAGCTTGGACTTTTCAATTTCCTCAAGTGACATATTAGCAAGCTCTTCAATCCCATTCTCCATGAACAACTTCATGGGCTCCTTCTCAATCTTAACTTTCTCTTGAGGATTGATACCTTGCCTGAACTTTTCCTTCAAAACCCAAAAACCTCCCTCATTTTTCTCAACTCTTGGCTCTAACCTCTGAGGATCAATCTCAGCTGATGATGCTTCTCCTCCAGCTGGTGGTGCAACTGTTTGAGCTGGAGTTGCATGTAGCCTAGTAGTACTACTAGTGATCTTAGATGATGATGATGATGATGAAAAAGGACTGAAATTTGGTGCCAGAAACTTAACAGAGAAAGAAGCCATTTTTTCTTGAAGAAATCAAAGCATACAGGAAAATGATATCTGGATTGAGTTATTAATAGAAGAAGGGATGGAGGAAGAAGCTGAGGGTGAGGTGACTCCATGGCCTAATGGAGAGGATAAATTAATCAAACACACACAACAACTGGTTTTTTCATATGGACTCTTGGTAGTTGCAAAGAGTCATTTTTTGTGAATATTTTTTATAGTGATCAGATTGGTTTTTTTTTTTTTTTAAATGTTTAAATTATTGTAGGAGTACATTAAATTTTGGAGGGATCCAGTGAATGTGGTGGTGATGTGGTACCTTTGACACGTAGTTTCAGACCAGAAAAATTTTCCTCGGCCGTTTTTAACCAGTGATGATAGTATATTAGGTAGTATATCCCTTGGAGTCATTGGAAGGGGGAGAGTTTTTTGTCCCCAAGTTGTAAGAAAAAAACAAAAAAAACATGTTACACTTCCTTAGTCATGTAAGCAAGGAATATTTGGGTCAACCGCCGATTGTTGGGTTAAGCGGTAAGAAATTATATTTATTTAATTAAATTTTGAGCTTGTATTTGTTCATAAATAAATAAAAATGTTCATATTGAAAATGACAATATTTCAATTTACGTTTAAATATGTAATACAACTTTTAAGTAGTTCTATATACAATTCCAATGCAAACATCTGGAAACAAAAAGTACACATTCGTAAAAGCATTCAGTCTAATTTAATGACAGTTTGAGAGGTTGAGGAAGCTGAAGCTTGTTGATTTTATTATTATTTTTTTTTGGAAAAAATACCTGTATATAAATTATGAAGAAGTACTTAAACTATTACAATGCATTCTATGGAATGTTAAATTATGAGTATCATCTATGGAACTCAAGAGATTAATTAATACTAGTATTACTAATGTTGTCTTTTGAGATGATGGCTACTAGTTAACTAGCTAGTGGTGGTGTGGCAACCAATGGAAGAAATTAAGGAAGATCTAATTCATTTGACTACCTTCTCATGTTGTAAATACTTTTTTCCTTTAAAATGAGAATCATATTTGTAGAATCTTATATTGTATAAATTCAATGTGAATTTTTTTTAGGACAAATATAGTATATTAAAAAAAAGAGTGAACCTCAAAACAAGTCATCAATTTTTAATATATTTTCACTCTAGATCATCAATTAAATTTATTTGTAGCACAGATTACCTTACTAAAGTTTTAATCCATTTCAGATCATTCTGTTTAATTTGGCCGTTAAATAGTGACGGAAATCCATTTTTCACATGTTTTTGGGTTCAAGGGTTTTTTGTCGATTTATTATTATTATTTTTGAAATTTTTTAAATCTTTTTAAATATTTTTTTTTTTAACAATTCTTCTTCTTATACTTCCTAACTTGTATACACTGGTAGTACAATTCTAAATTTTAAACATTTATTTTTCTTTTGTATTTTAACTTCTAGATTATAAAAATCTTTTTTAAAAAAAAAATTTAAGAAATGAAGAAGAAAAATTTGAGTTAAAGTAAATATGAAAATTAATAATTTAACATTTTAAACAAAAAGAAAAACTAAAAGAATTAGCTAAGACAAGTTATTTCTTCTAGGTTATTTAATTTTTTTCAACTCGATTGAATTATTTAATTATTAATTTTCACGTTTCTTATTCCTTTTTTTTTGTAATCTGGAAGTTAAGATACAAATGAAAAATAAATTCGTTTTTGAAAATTAACTTTTTATTTGTATATTAACTTGTAGATTATTTAAAAAAAAGGAATAAGAAACGTGAAAATTAATAATTAAATAATTCAATCAAGTTGAAAAAAATTAAATAATCTAGAAAAAACAACTTGTCTTAGCTAATTATTTTAATTTTAATTTTTTTAAAAAATGGTAAATTATTTATTTTCATGTTTACTTTAACTCGAATTTTTCTTCTTCATTTCTGAATTTGTTTTTTTTAAAAAAATTATAATCTAGAAGTTAAAATACAAAAGAAAAATAAATTTTTAAAATTTAGAATTATACTACCAGTGTATACAAGTTAGGAAGTATAAGAAGAAGAATTGTAAAAAAAAAAAATTAAAAGATTAAAAAAATACAAATAAAATAATAAAATGACAAAAATACTCCTGAACCCAAAAGCATGTGAAAAATAGATTTCCGTCACTATTTAACGGCCAAAATTAACAGAATGATCTGAAATGGATTAAAACTTTAATAAGGTAACATTGTTACAAATAAATTTAATTGATGACCTAGAGTGAAAATATATTAAAGGTTGATGACTTGTTTTGAGGTTCACTCTAAAAAAAAAGAAAAAGAGATTTGGGACTAATGTCACAGTCTTGACTAAAATAAAAAAATTCAAACACATATCATGTAGCTGAGTGTAATCAATCATTTAATGTAAATTTTATTTAATTATGTTTATTATTTAAGCCATATTAAGCATGTCTTATTTAATTTTTCATGTAATTAGTGAGACATGTTTTATAAGAGATGAAGATTTCCTTATTTTCTTGAACTCCTTATCATCAAAATTGACAATTCAAAACAAAAAAAAATAACATTTCTTATTATCATTATCACCGTAATTAACAAAAATCTTTCATTAATTTAAATACTATGTTATCAAGTTATCAAGTTTGTTTTTCCCCCCCGTTTAGTCTTGAGTTTAGCTTCTCTATCTGCTCTGATCGGAACAATATCACTGTTTGATATAAAATCCCAATCATGATCCTGTCATGTTACCGATCTTTATCAGTTATACATCAAGAACCAAAGTAATGTCTTGTGATACTTTTTGCCTTCTTCAATTGAAATCTAAGTGCAACTACAATTCAATAATTTAATATTCAATAACAAGGAAGAAATCTGAAGCTAATTAACAAAAATTCAACTGTCCTTACAAAAACGAAAATTCCAATTTTCATATTTATACCAAAACTCAAATTTAAGCGGATCTATACTCAATTAAGAATGTACAAATAAATCCTAGATAAATCTTCAAATTTGGCTCTCGTACAGTGGGGAAATAACATAAAAACAAGGAGGAACAGAAAAAAAGCAGAAAGCATCAATTTATTTATCCGGAAATCTTTCTGGTGTTCAAGTATCAAAAATTAGGATCGTAAAGACCACTAATTTCAGGGTTTGGTTTAGAGTGATTTATATCTATTTATTAAATTCCTTTGCACCATAATTTTCGGAAATAATGAAAAAATCAGACGTAAATAAATTAAAAAGATTTGAAAAACAAGGTATAAAATTAAATACCCTTAGGTAAACTAAATTTAAAAATTTTATTTTTAATATGACAATAGTATAAGTTGTACTAAAATTAAAAAATTCAAATAAAATAATTACTTTGAAACGCGGTGATTGGAACGTAATGCGACTTTCGTAAGTCATCTCAAACGGAATCGGAAAGGATCAAGAACTGAACAAAAAGGAAAATAAAGGAAGACATGATTTTCATCCTTTTCTCAAAAAATGAAGAAGTTCTGTATATTCTGTATATCACTAAATCTAAGTTACTCCTCCTTAAATATACATTCTAACCGACTAATTTTTATGTACACGTGGAAACTCCTTTTTGAGTAGCCTCCAAGTAATCGTGACCTCCAGCTCAAGGCTAATCATGAACCATCTGGATTCTTCGTGAGGGTTCCAGATTCATCTTCTGTTGTGACAGCTCGGCAGAAGCATGTGCAGGTTGCCGGAGTTTGTTACACAGCAACTTGGAGCCTGCATTTGAAGTTGAAGCCTGCCAGGGAATCAAAATGATGTCGTCCGCTTTAGTAAGATTTGAATTCAAATCTTGGCGACAAGCATTTTGATGGCGGCGATCAACCAAAGCTGCTACTGCTGCTTCCTTTTCCAAATATTGCAACATCCCCCCCTCAAGCTCAGCCCGGGAAGGTAACCACATCATGAGATTGGACAAAAGAAGATGAAAGAAAGACGGAGCAAGCGGCTTGGTAAAGAAATCTACAAGGTTCTCTTGGGAAGAAACATGCAAAGGATTGATAAAACCTGATTTGTTCTGCTCCCGGACCACATAGCAGTCTATTTCAATATGTTTAGTCCTCTCATGAAAGACATGGTTTTTGGTGATGTACAAGGCGGCTTGATTGTCACAATGGAAAGGTACAGGCAAAGAAACTGAGATCCCTAAGTAATGAAGAACATAACTGATCCACTGAAGTTCTCTTACTGTAAAGGCCATGGCTCTATATTCTGATTCAGCAGTGGAACAAGAGATAGTGCTTTGATTCTTTGTTTTCCATGAAATCATGTTGTTTCCAAGGAAAATACAATAACCACTCAAAGACTTTCTACTGGTTTTACACAGTCCCAATCAGCATCATTATAGGCAGTGATGTTGAATCCTGAGTTCTGAGAATAGAACAATCCTCTCTGAGAACAACCTGAGAGATAACGCAACATATGTATAGCTGCATGCCAATGTGAGTCATGAGGCAAATGCACAAATTGACTCAACTGTTGCATTGAATGTGTAATATCTGGCCTAGTGTAATTAAGGTATAACTACCAACAAGTCTCCTATACTGTGTCGGATCACCATAAAGAGGAGTTGGATCCTTGGATTCTTCAGGAAACCTTAAATCAGGAGGCAAAGGAGTATCACTGGATGTACAATCAAGCATGCCAGCATCTCTGAGTAAATCAACAATGTACTTATTTTGACTAATAAAGATGCCTTCTGAAGACCTTGCTAACTCCATTCCAAGGAAATACCTAGCAGTACCCATATCCTTAATAGTGAATTTTGCATCCAAGTACTGTTTAAATTTAGTTACTTCATGTTCATCTGAACCAGTGACCAAGATATCATCAACATAGACCAGTAAGAACATGCAAATCTGATCTTTGTTAAACATAAAAAGGCAATGATCATTTGGAGATTGCCTGAAACCATAAGCAACCAAAGCATATGTCAATGTTGTATTCCACATCCTGAAAGCTTGTTTCAATCCATAGATGGATTTT